AAGGTCGGCGAGTACGCCGAGGGCACACGGAGGGGGAAGGTGAACCAGGTGACGCGGAGATGGGTGGAGGGAGAGGGAGAAGGGTGCGGGCGCGCTCGGCAGGACAAGAAGTAGCGGCATGGCGCTTTAAAAGCCGCTCGTCTGCCGTGGGTTCATTCTGTTCCCGCCACCATGAACGCCCCAGTGCTGATACTCACACTAGGCGCTCTCATCTGCGCCGCACAGGTGAGCTCTCCAGCCAATCATGGCCTCCTATATCATCTCGATTTGATTTCGTTTATTAGTCGACTAGTGGTGCCAGCACGGCATGCGTACTTTATCGTACGCAAAATTACGCGAAAAGGACTCGACAGTTTTCGAAAAATTGAACATTATCTTATTTCGAAGTATATCTTTAAGGAACAGATTTCATTACGAAAATAAAATCCGTCTTCATAATTGAATTTGTAGGAAGACGCCGAAATATGCGAGTTTTCAACGAACATACACCATTATCGTAAACGTTCTTCACACTATCCAAAGACAAAATTTAATCAAAAACGATGAAGTCATTTTTTTGAAAGTCTTGAAAATGTTCCAGGAGCTTCACGTAAAGATCTTCTCTCAAAATGAAAAAAAAAATCGATTTTCTGAGAAAATTGACTGAACGGTTTAGTGCTAACGTTGTTCACAGACGGACGGACGGACAGACAGACGAACGGACGGATGAAAAGACGGGCGGACGGACAAACGGATGGACTGAAGGGCGGGCGGCCGGACGGACAGACGGAATACAGATGTTTCGTCGTCATTGCATTTTTCTGTACGAAGAACTCACAAAACATGAATTGTGGATAGATCACGTGTTAGAGGATTTTTTGTCTAAATTTAGCAACCGTATTTATCCACTTTTTCGTTACCAGGACCTGTAATAGGAGTTTTTCTGCCGAAAATTCCCCGTTTTGTCGCGCAGTATTACATAACTTGCCCTCCATTGAGTGAGAATGTAAAAGCCAGTAAAAACGTATGTGACGTGTGAGGGAGAAGTAACATCTGAGCTCGTATTCTTGAGCTCCAGAATCTCTTCCTAACATTTTAACTATATATTGTTGAATGATGAATAGAAGTTAAGATAACAAGCAAAGTTAACAACTTTTGGAAACTAGACATTTTTGCTCCGGAGTTATAGAAAAGTTATTTACATCAATTAACGAACTATATATTTTAATTTTTACTAACAAGATAGTTACTAAACACGCATCTAAATATTCAGGTCAAATGCAACTCGCATCACTGTGACTATACACAGTGTTCGGAGAGGATACACCGAAACTTCAAAAATAAGCTCATAAGACACTTTTAAGCATATTTTGTCTAATGAACTACTTAGTATTCTGAATAGCAGAACCGCAAAGTCACTTAAAAGTTGGATTGAAAAAATAATTTCTATGCAAAACTTTGCATCGCAGAAACATATAAACACTTCAGAAAATGTAAATATGAAAAATGTTACATAAGAAATTAATATATTTGTTCAGAAAGAAAAATTAACACAGAAATAAAATGTACACTATTTATACAAGTCGACTGCTTTTGTATTTCATGGTTAATTTTCCTCCGAACACCCATAAATTATTAATTAAAATATATTTTATTGTAGTTAAAAACATGCCCGTTAAAACATGCATAAATTTCAGTTGTGATTTTATTCATTTTTCCCGTGGATTATAACAAAATATTAAGCCGCAATATTCTCGTGCCTTCAAGCAACAAGATGTAAGAGTCAGAGTGTGTAAGTAAAGGGAGATGATAGGGTAAGGAAGAAGAAGGAAAGATCGCGAGCGGACCATTGACCGTTTATTAAGGTTCTTCTCCGGCATTCACCTGGTGTTGATCAGAGAAACTAAGTAAAACTTCTGTTTTAAGCAGCCGGCCACTGGAATGCTCCTCCAGATTGCGGCTGGATTCGATCTAGTTGTTTAGCAAGCGTCAAAAATCTGTCTCCGTTGGTTCCCGAACCTTACGACACTCCCGTCAGAGTCACTTCAGTGACAAGTGCTATGCACCCAGAGAAAAAAAAAAACAAACGTTTAATACTCGTATGCAGTAGAACCCCGGTAATCCGAATTAATTGCGGGTGTGGACTCTTCGTATTCGAAAATCTTCGGATTATCCGAAAAAAAAGAACCCCGGTAATCCGAATTAATTGGGGGTGTGGACTCTTCGTATTCGAAAATTCGTTCGGATTATCCGAAAAAAAATGTACGTATACAAATACATCTATATGATATCAGACACAATGCAACGTAGGATGCGAAGTGAGAAGTAAAGCAGATTGAGTTCCTTACTGTAAAAGAAGATTACCAATTTTGCAAGTTTCTTTAAGTTAAAATTACTGCTATATAATGTCATGTCGCTCCTCCAATAGAAAAGTGATACAAGTGCGAAATCGTCATTTTTCAGCTAAAAGCTGATAAGGGTTTACCAAGAGGTACTGCTACTATTCTGAAGTTCATTTTGAATTAGTTCAGTTACTGTCCGCTAGAAGGTGAATATTTGGTAAAATCTATAACCAGTATTACAGAACTACGAAACTTAAAATTGCAATTTCTGAGCAATCAGAAATTCACACATGCGTCACTTTTCTATTGGAGGTGCGATGTGATATACACCGTAATTACTAGAGCAATAAGTGTTTTATTTCGACAACTTGTATTTCAATTGTTAGTTGTTCAGTTCTACAGTCATTATAAAATCTTTTTCTGTAAGCTACAAATGAGCATTTTATTTACTTTTTCTCCAACTCGAATTTGGTTCGGATTATCTGACCTTCGGATTTGCGGGTTTCAGTTTAGCGAGATTCTATTATACCCCCAAAAAACCCTGTAAGTGTTCCGTCCATTGCCTACTGTACCCTTACTTAATAGAAATGGAAAATATTATAAAACATTTTTCCGCCGGTAGTTTATGGCTTGTGCCATAGCGAATTGTCACATTCAGTTTATAATTTGAGAGAAGCGTATGAAACTTCCTCGATGTAGTGTTTTTTAATTTTTTTTATATTTTTTCCCTGTGTAAGTGACAGCTGTCTCACACCGGAAGCGTCACAGCAACCGGTCCCTGATATCAGTTAAAAGCGAGCTGAATATATGTTACGTAAATAACGGACGTATAAAAATATGGTCTTCCGTGTCGCCGAAACACAAATGCACAAATAAATAAATTCACAATGAATAAAAGAAACAGTCATATGATCGTACAGACATTCCGTTTTGTGCTGCAAATTGGCCACCTGTGATTCTTTGAAATTACACCGCACAATTTCATACTTCCTCTGATTTCACATGCATTGGATTCAGGAAAATAGTATAGACGCAAACACTATGTGAACTTATATGTGAAGGCATATTTAGAAAAATATACGTTATCGCAAACACATAATTTATGAAAACAGAAAAAAAAAGATTGTTAAAGTAGGCCCTATAATCAAATAGTATACTTTTTGCTAAAAATACTTAAGAAAATAACTAATTTCACACCAATAAAATGAAATTAGGTAATTATGTGGCTTTGTAAGAAGTAACTAATAATAAGAAGTAATAAGAAAATGCATTTAATGTTGCAGGCAGACATAAGGAAGATCTTTGAAGAATGTAAGAAAAGCAGCAATCTGGAAAGGGGTGAGTAAAAGCAACAATACATATTCTGTAGTAATAAGCCCCGTCGCTATTTTGCCATCATCTTATCGCTCTTGAGGCAACCATATATCAGGTTGTTGTTGTTGCTAAAAAATACATCAGGAGACTCATATGCAGAAGCTTTCTAAAAGATATGAAACGTTTATTATTTATTACACAATTGGTGAAAATTGTCGGTTTAGATGCTCTATGTTTTGTGTATACAATAGTGTATGCGCATTTTGCAAGTAATTTATGAGAGTTAAATTTCATGTATACTATCTAATAATTTTCGACTAGTTTCACAGGTGTGTTCCTAAAAGACCGAAAACTTTGAGGAATATGTTTAAATACTACTCGCAAATAAATAAAATAAAAAATTAAAAGCAGTAGTCCTTAATGAGTATCCCAAATATAAAAATATCATTTTAGTGAATGAATAATTCTTATTTGTACTCTTTTTAAAACATCATGCCTTCATTTTTGAAACCGAGAGACCTGCGATAAATATTTCGATATTTATTTGAATAACTGAGAAATGACTGATTTCATTGAAACTTTGAAAAATATTTTCGAAGTTTGCACTTGATCCAGACATTCTTGAATACTAAGATCTTCTGACATTGTGCATGAATTGAATGTAACATTTAACGCCACAACAAACAATAAAGTGCAAGGTAGTTGTGATGAAATGACATTCTAACTTAGTAAACTATTCGCCTAAATTAATTTGAGTCGTAAACACTGCGAACACAAAAAAGTAGTTAGAAAGCCTTTGGTGATTTTTGTGATTACTAGACTTTAAATTTTTAGCTCTAAAACGTCACTAAAACTAATTTTAAGCACTATAATTAGGTTTCTAAAAGCCCAAATAAGTAATAAATTATAATATTTACTATACTTGGGGAAATATTCTTGCACATAATTGTTACGTGTGTCGTCGGCAATGAGTTGATGGGAGGTAAAAGAAACGAAGATTTAAAAATATTACACAAAAAATGGAGAAATCTCTGATAGTTTGAATTTGGAGGTCCAGCAGACTATGTGACAAATACACATCACACGAAATTAAATTGAGCTGTAGGGTATTGCATTAGCATGAGCGTTATTAAAATTAGATAGAAATAAAATGTTGTGTGTGCCACTGGCGTTAACCGGTTTAACGATCTTGCACGGCAAAGAGCTCCCGGCCCCAAAAGGAGCTAGTTAAACAGCCGAATAAACAGCTAGTAAATATTAAAAGTTATTTTGAATGAAGGGCGTTGTAAGTGTTCGAATAGTCAGCATCGACAAAAATCCAAGGGTAGCCCGAGTCAGTTTGTGTCGCCCGATATCATTAGAACCAGCGCTATGTTCAAGGTTTTACATTAACCTAAGTTAAATGTTTCGGTTTTACTTCATGACTACTTAACTTGCCTTGGTTTGTAATATCTTGTTTTTCATTTGTATTTTTAAATTTACCTCCAATAATTCTCTCAATAAGAAGATAACATGTAGCGTCATTCCACTGTTTTGACATATCCTTCGAAACCTCTATCCTCTCGATGTAGGTTAGTTATGCTCGTACATCTAGTTCCGTGTCGAAGGCAATAACACTTTAAAGTAGACTTTGTCCTACATGTTCCGCAAAGAAGTTTCGGCATTTAAAGGAAAACTGCAAAAGAAAACAGTCGTTGAGGCGACAGAAATCAACGTAGCTGGCGCCTCGCCCACTGAAAATGATATGAAGATTATATACTTTTAAATGTCCATGAATTCGAGGAAGAAAAAAATACTTACGGAAATCGTACGAAATTTTGGCGTTCTATTTTCAAAAAGTCATCATGTCAAACACTCGCGTTTTATTTGTACTTGTAAAGCGGTTGAGGTTACATTTTATACTATTTTTTTATTCTTAACAACATTTTACTATTGAGGTTTGTATTAATTATGTTCTGCAACATAATTTTTAATTGTTATAATATATAACTGTTATAATTTGCAATATTTTTATTTTTGACGTTTTTTTATTGGCCGCTCAAAAGTATTCGGTCAAATTTGAGAGCAATCAATATCAATTTTTTGTGGCACATATAAACATACACACACTTTTGCATAATAGATGATCTATTATAAATTGTTGAAAAAATAGTTGTACCTCTATATGAAGGGGACCCTAATTACTAGCTTGGTCTGCTTATGTCTTAATCCCTTCATGAAAATGTGGAAGTGAAAAAGTGTACAAATTTTTAACTATTCGTTGGAGTCGTAAGGACAAATAAACACGGCTTTTTGAAATGTTACTAGAAGTCATATATTTCTCTTTTTCTTGCAGGGGACATGAAAGAGATGCACGCCTGTGAAAACGCCAGCGACCTGAATGACAATCATGTGGTGAGTGTTTTTCAATCCTTGTGCTTACAGTAACGTTTTTACAAACAAACCCAAAAAATAGAAAAAAAACTTACTTGTACGAGAAAGCCTGCGTCGTTCTGCAGCAGAAATAGTTTCAGTCTGTCCTACACCTTTAATATACAGAACTTACACGAATCAAACGCGCCATCGAATCTAATGTGCACCCCATATTTGAACCTTTAAATTAAGGGAAAAAAGGTTATGTATCGAATGTAATGCGCATCGACGACAGAGCAATAGATCCGGTATTTTCTTTAAATTTATGTAATATAACCCCTTTGTGTCAAAAAGATGCACATTAAATTCGCGTAAATACAGTAGTTAGCATTTATATAGTGCAAACTAATTCTCAATATAATGTATTAAAATTAGAAAGTATTTCTCGCGGTAAACATTTAGTGAGGCGACAAATTTTTAGATAAGAACAGTGCTGCCAACTGGATTGCACAATGCCTCGCAATGTCTCGCAAGTCTTCGAATCGTATAGTCAATGATCCTTCGTTTGTTTTTAATTATTCGTTACACTCATAGTCAGTTTTAGGTCCATCCTTCGTCAATTTTCCTTCCTTCCTTCGGAGGGGAAGTAAAGCCGACTGTCCCATGTTAGTAGATTTACTTGCATGTAAAAGATCCTCAAGCCTAAATGACGCCTCTGAGCTAAATTCAAATCGCCAGTTTCTCGCCCAAGAAATACCTCCTTTCTCTGCTAGTTGGTGAAAGGAGCGTAGCGAAATTTGCGTGGTCAGACGGAAGAGCGGGCCTGATGGCTCGAGTCTCGCCACGTAAAATAAGGCATTAATTCAATTCAAATTCAATTTTTGGAGGTGGGTAATTGACCCAACTCAACGACTTTTTCACGATTGAGGCGAGCTGTCGATATACTTACTCTTTGGGATCATCTCAGAGAAGCTAGTTGATATTGCGCAACGGGTCTGCAGATGAAGGAGTCAGGCATGTAGGGTATGTTTGGTGGTTGATGTCACCATGCCACAACACATCTGGAAGTAGGCTTCTCTGCTATTCGAACGGGCTAGGAAAGAAAAGATATTGTCGCAAATGTGGCACATGTTATACGAGAAAAACACCCTTGTTTCAGCACACAATAAATATCCAAGTCTTGGTGTGATTCGAACTCGGGACCCCTACGTATCTCATTATCTTCTTCACCAAGAGATAGCGCTATAGTCGTTTGGATTGGCAATATTACACGACATATTGCGTGACATTTAATGATGGTTTATTCTCGTCCGTTTTGCTGGCTAATGTGTCTCTTCTTCTGTTTCAGAAATTCTTGCACTGTATGATGATGAAGCAGGAGATGGTAAGTGGGGGTTGTGAATAAGATTATGTTGGCTGTGATTCTGTTCATAATTGCCGTTACACAACGTTAACTTACAAACCTGGGTTGACCAAAATTTGAATTTCGGACATTGGCATAATCTCGATGTCAGTTAAATAAAACAACAAACATCTGTCGTACTACTAATAAATAAAACAAAATATTATTAAATAATAATAACATAACAAAATTGAAAATGTAACAACCAAAATTCATACCAGAATAATATCGAAGTAGACACAAATTTGAGTTGTCATACTAAAAAAACAACAACAACAACAAATAATTTCGAAAAAGTAACCACCGACCGTGCTGAGAATATAGTCCGTATTTGAAAGCTAGGATCATAGGATCCATGCAGAGGATGCGAAATACATCGAAGACAGGGAAAAGCGACTGCGTCAAAACCAAAACACAATCCGAATAAAGTGAATAACAGATTGGAAATCCTTTCATATCTACTTGAATAATTTGTCCTAGATAGTATATGCAACATACAAGGTGAAAGCTTTTTAATAGTTAAATTAAACAATAATAGTAATTGTTATTCTATTAAACATTTTTAAAGGGTCCCATAATCGAAAGAATGTTTGAGAGTAATCTTACATTTAATAACCTCACTGAGTGTACCTGAAGGCAATCTAATATTATTATTTAACGTCATAAAACTTTATAGAACACGTAAAATTAGTTAATATGAAGTATTTCAATATTTCAAACAATTGAAACAACATTCCACTCTCCATAATGGTGAAACTGAGGCGAAATAAAATTTTGGCCGCGAATCGTATGTCAGCGATACTAAAAAAACCTGTCTTAAAACGTGGACGATTCCCAATAAATTTTCGTCAATTTTATTTCGTTAATATAATATTCGCATTTCGACAATGGTTACACGTAGCTTTGCAAACTACTGAAACAATACGAATTCTGACTTTATAATCTCATAAACTGGATTTAAACGTGTTTTAAAACTGGATTAGTAACCTCTAACATTGTATATTTGCACAGAGCAGATTTTAATTTGACAATGGCGGAGTTTATTGATCTCTAATGTTGATTTAACTGACAAAACAAAGTTTAAAAATTAAGAATAAATAACCAAACTAGTTGAAAAATCTAAGCGCATAAGGGCATTCGGAGAGGGGTTCAGATATTCCTCATTTGGAATAGTACGGGAAGAAAGAGATGTCATACCTATAAGTTGCAGAAACTGAGTGGTATCAGTTATTTTATATTTTAACTTTGACAAAATTGTTATTTCGAGGATTTTTCATTCTCAAACTAACTCGTAAAAACATCGATGTAGAAAAAACATCAGATTTAATAAACAGATTTCTACATTTAAATACTTCGATAATCAAAATTAAAACACCAATATTCATAATACATCGCACCAAAACCAACAATTTTTTAATAATCGATGTTGGTGTAGTAAAATGAAACATTAAAAATTCACAATGAACAGAATTTTAACATTTGACGGTGACCGCATGTATTATTTGATAAGTAAATCTTAACAGGCAAACAAAGATTACCAAAGACTAATTGATAAAACTGAGCTTAAAAGCTTAAGAGCTGGGGGGGGGGTACAAAGCTTGTTTCTAAAAATATAGATGTTTGTTGGCTAACTTGTAAATAGCATCGACGCTTCCTGTGACGATGTGCTCGTCCGACGAAAATATAGTGCGTCAGAAGAGATTTTCCCACATACGTAATTATAATTCAATATTTTCCGGACTCACGTATGTGCATATACCAGAGCAAAACTCTTAGACTTCCGTATATCTTTAGGAAGCCGTAGGGATGAAACACTTTACGAAGCGGCGTGGCTGAACAGCTGCGGTGCGGAGGGACACTTCCAGGGCCCTACAACTCCCATATAACGTGGTGGAAACCATTACGGTGGCGCGCTCTGCTGCAGAACCTTCTTACAGGAACTAAAGCACGAACTGCTCCCAACGATACTTAAAACGTGCGTGGCTGCTGCGTGAGTTCACGGTCCGCAAGCAGACCCATAAATGTTACAAAAGATAACGTCTATGTTCGAGCTTTATTTAGATGTTTCTTATAAATATAGATTATGAATAATTGAACATTTAGAAGATAATTTTCGTATTTCTCGCAAATTAGCCACTTTGTATGTGAAAAAGTTGGCAAGCCTAACTTGCAGCGACATTAGCGCCTCCTATAGTAGCACCCTCGAGCTTTGTCTCCTGTTTTAATGGAAAGTTGAAAGGCCCTGGATATGTCTCTGAATTACACGCGATGTTCACTTGTTTAGCGAACTGTCGCTTTGGCTCATTCTTATAAAACTCGCACTATACGCTGCCTGCGGCTGCGACACGCCTGGAACCGGCGATTTGCTTGTGGCTTCAGATGGACAAGGACTGCCGCTTGACAGTGGATCGGCAAATCATCTCCGACAGGGTCGACAAGAAGTGTGACGAGATGGCGGAGAGTACCGGCGCGGTGGCGGAGACCGAGAACGAGGAGCAAAAAGGAGAAGAAGGAGAAGAAGGCGGCGACAAGAAGAATAAGAAGAAGAAGGGCTGCTGGTGGAAGAAGCTCTGCGAACCGGAGAGGCGCGAGAATTTCAAGAAGAACATGACGGAGTGCGTCGAGAAAGGTGGGTACTCACACCTCCGTTCCGTTCGTAATGCCGTTCTGCCATATCGACCCAACTTCGATTTTCTTTGAATGAACTTTCTTGGTGGGGTTGGAGGCCGACGATTTCCTTTGCATGACCTCTTTTTCTATCATGTGTTGCATTAAAGTTTTGACCTGTGGTCAGGCGGAAGAGCGGGCTCAATAGGCTCATTTATTCATTACTTCATTCAAATATTCATTGATTCATTCATTCATGCAAATATTCATTCTAATATTCATTCAGATATTCATTCTAATATTAATTCAAATATTCATTCTAATATTAATTCAAATATTCATTCATTCATTCAAATACTCGTTCATTCGTTCAAATATTCATTCATTCGTTCAAATATTCGTTCATTCGTTCAAATACTCATTCGTTTGTTCATTCATGCATTCAAATATTCATTAAAACACTTATTCATTGATTTATTCAAATAATAATTCATTCATTCAAATATTCATTCATTCAATAATTTACAGTCGCATAGCAAAGCCTACTCAATACGCAGACAACACCAAAGGGGTCCTTGACGGACCCCAAAATACATTGCAATAGAATTCAAGAAAAAATGTGTATGGTGAAGAAAAAATGGAACATATATTTAACAATATTATATAAAAACTATTTGTGACGTATGGGGGAGAAAATTATCTGCGCACGCCTCCTTGAGTTCCAGAATTTCTTCCCGTCATTTTAACTATAAATTGTTGAAAGATGAGTAAAAGTTTAAAATAAATAAATAAAAATAAATTTTAGAAAAGCGTGAAATTGGCAATATTTAAAAAAATAAACAATATCGTTTCTGTGGTATAGAAAACGTATTTGCATCCGTAAGCGAATTGCAGGTATGATTTTTCTGCATTGCTAACGAAATAGTAACTCGCCTTTACTTCTTCTTATACTATTACAAACAAAAGAAGAGTTCAACAAAACGTGCACATAGTGAAGCTATACTTACGTCCAGAAGCAAAACAAGGAGCCATCTCAGCATTTGCTCAATGGATCACGGAAACTGGACAAAAACCTGATCGAGATATTTTTTTTGATGTATCACGCAGACGATATTGTCGGTAAAATGAGGAGCCCAAATCTAATCTCAATCGCACTGATATTTCAAAATACGCGAAACAGGCCGTACATATATTCTCTGCAATGCTCGTTCTTTTAACTTTCTCGTATACGTACGTGTATACAAAGTAATGTACGTAGAATTGGGAAAGTTTTGTAATGCTTCGCCAAACAACGGCAATTATTTAACAGATAAACTGTATTGTGCAATATTTTAATTACCCAAATAGCCCCAATAATATGATTACCTTTAATAATTTTCCTGGTACCGAAAAGGTAGATAAATCTCATTCTATGATGTAGTAAATTACTCCCTCTAACAAGTCAGTTGTTGTCAGATTTAAGAAATTGTGGGTCTTTGATAAAGAAAACGCGTTTTTTTCTCAAAACGTCCGTCCTTCCGTCTGTCTGTCCGTCAAGAATATAAAGCTTCCACAGGCCAAAGAAATTAGAAAACTAACCAGTACAAGAAAGTCTATCTGTAGTCATTCTGTAGCACCACTAGTTTGCTCTTGTCTTGCGAAAAAATAAAATGATCTCGTGGATATTTACAAATTCTTGGCGCTATACCTCGAAAGATTTTATCATATCACGCATTTTTTATCATATCACGCAAGTATATAACAATCACATACCTGCAATGCAACAATATGTCAGTTACACATACCAATATTCTGGCCACAAAAGAAAACTTTTTACATTCTAATGGCATTTTTGTTGGACAAATAGGAAACGATAAGGTGCAAAGACAGACATAAAGTTCATATGTGTTCTTTTCTTTTCATCCAAGCCATTCTTCCCGTTTCTATGAGCTCGGTTCACATGGAGGTGGTCTCAGTTTTTATCGTTTCTCCCCACACTCCATTTGTATCACCATTTGACTACGTTTTCACGGCCCTTCCTGATGCCAACCACAGGGAGCACACAATCACATTTCACATAGACATGACGCGCAATCCCGGGACACACGCAGTTGTGCCCCAAGGAGGGATTCGAACCCGCGATCCTTCGGTCAGAGCCCCCCCCCCACAGCACTATTTGCCTTAGAAATCTGGGCAACCCGGATCGGGAAGAAGTTAAAATTCGTTGCTTTGTGAAATTCACTGGCTTGCCGGAACGGCGTTCCAACACCTCTGATTAATGCATGTGATCTTTTTTCGCAGCTAAGGAAGCGTATAACAGCGCCGAGGGAACCAGTGACCAATGTAGAAACACCGTCTTCACCATGAAGGATTGCATGAAGAAGAAGATAGCCCGCAAAATGGTAGGAATACT